CTGCTGTAAGATTGGAATTTCCCCATTGTGGGACTATTAAAGGAATATCTTATCTTAGACAGTAGACAATAGTGCAATGGTGCAGAGTGCAAAGGATGCTGAAATAAATAATTTCTGTGCAGGTATCTTTATGTACATGGGGGTAGGTGGATATGACGGTCTACTGTAGATGCAGTACATACAGTAAGCACTGCATAGGTAGATGTGTTTAAAAGAAACTGAATATTCAACAATGGTTTCATTAAGAGTCCTAGGGTTATTGTACAGGGCAGTTAACTGTTGTCAGTGATGGCCTGTGAATAGAAACGGTTCCTGTGTCTGTCTGTTTTGTTTATTTGTTATTGACTTTAGAAGTAAATGAGTTTTCTATTTATAATCTGAAATATTAGCTGTATTTCTCTGTAGTTGTCTCATCTTGTTTTATCTCACTGAAAGGTAAAAATCCTAGACGTCAAATACAGTAGCTCTCAGCATGTTAACTCTGAAGTAATATTGGAAAGTAAAATCTTTCTTAAGTTAGAACCCTTGCAATCATTTAAACATCCTGAGTGCTCAGAGGATCATTACTGAGTTGTATGGGGGAATTGCTTTACTAAAAAAGCTGAGATTGCACTGCAATCAGAAGACCCTCTGCCAAACTATAAACTGTTAAACTAAATGTTATGATTGCTCACTTTATAATTTCCATAGTATAATCATCTCCTATATTCTCTCCTGTCTCACCTCAGGAAGAGTCTTAAACCGTTTCTCAAAGGACATCGGCCAGCTGGATGCTAACATGCCGTGGACCTTCGTGGACTTCATTCAGGTGAGGAGATCTCTTACCAATGACACAGCCGCTCGTAAAAGAGAGATATGAACCCTAAACTCTGGAGAGCCTCTTGACCATTCATTATATCAGCATAAATTATATGTGATCATACGGTTAAGTTTAAGAATATTGCATAAAACTTAATTTAAAATGAGTGCTGGCAATCACAGAAATATTTGAATACTGTCATCATCTTACGAATATGCTCTTACTCATTAGGCTGATTGAAAGCACTTCGATCTGTTTTGCAAAACCTCTTCCCAACGAACAGTTAGATTTACAATAAATGTAAATGTCAACTATTTATTGACTTTAAAGGAAAAAGGTAAAGAGACCAAGCTACTGTCACCAGAAACAAGCTACTGTTATTAGCAACAGCAGTAACAGAACTGTTTAGTGACCACGTCATTAATGTAGGAACGAAAGGGGACTAAGAATGGAACCCTGTGGGACACCATAAGCTGCTCGCACTAAATCAGAAGTCTATTTATGTTTACATTTCTTTCCTGTCAGTAATGGAATTTGAGAGCCGTCTGTAAGTCAGTCTATGAAACACTTCACATACAGCATGGAGACAAAAAAGCAGAACAGAAATTGAGACTTATTAGGGCATTATTGGGGAGAAGTTGGGCGAGCATCTTTAGCACTCAGTGGTTTCTGATTATCGCTTCAGCAGCTAGATAAGTTTGAAAATATCTGATGTAGCCTGTGAGAGAACAAAAACACTCACACACACACTTTTTCAGCCTGCTGTACCAGCAAGATAATTCTGCATTGTTACTGTGACTCATTCAGTCACTGGTTCTTACTCTCTCTGATTGTTTAGCTACTCAGATGTATTCAAAAAATAACCCACTAAAACGTATAACTTGAACCTGAACTGTGGTTTGTTGTTTTGTTCTCTCTGAGCAGGTGTTCCTGCAGATTCTCGGTGTGATCGCTGTGTCGGTATCTGTGATCCCCTGGATCCTGATCCCTGTGCTCCCTCTCCTTCTCTTCTTCCTCTACCTGCGCCGCTACTTCCTGCAGACCTCCAGAGACATCAAACGCCTCGAGTCCACAAGTGAGTATCCCACAGTGCAACAGTGTGTCTGTGCGCTCATAAGTTTTTTCTATATCATGTACAGGCAGACAGCTACCATAATGTTTCTGCGCCCCCTCTTTCTCATCTGCCCTGCAGCTCGGAGTCCAGTCTTCTCCCACCTGTCCTCGTCTCTTCAGGGCCTGTGGACGATCCGAGCCTTTGGAGCAGAGGAGAGGTTCCAGAAAGCCTTTGACGCTCATCAGGACCTGCACTCAGGTCAGCCTCGGCACACTTAGTTTGACTTTATATCCATCCGCATACAGTTCTTGAGAGTTCTGTCAGTCTGGTGTCAATAACGCGTTTCCTTGTCCTGAACAGGGGCCTGGTTCCTGTTCCTGACCACCTCTCGTTGGTTCGCTCTCCGCCTCGACGGCATCTGCTCCATCTTTGTTACCGTCACCACCTTCGGCTGCCTGCTGCTCAGAAACCGTAAGGAAGATTTGAAATGTTTTACATTAATTAGAAATACTCAAGACATGAATAATATTTTCTAGGATAATGCGGATGTTAGATTTTTACTGAAGAGTTTGATTGTGTTCAAAGTGTCTTTTTATTGCAGTAAAAATGAAATGTTTTCTTTTCATCTGTTAGAGCTGGACGCCGGCTCTGTTGGTTTGGCTCTGACCTACTCAGTCACACTGATGGGAATGTTCCAGTGGGGCGTGAGGCAGAGTGCAGAGGTGGAGAACATGGTAAGATGTTCCTTCTGTCGTTGATTTTATTTACATCTTGTATTTGGATTTATGTATTTAGGCGAGTTGGTCTTGGTTTGCACCAAGTGTCATTCATTATTTTTCTTAGATAAAACAACGTTAAAATATACACTGAGTAACACTCCTTGACGACTAAACTCACATAACATCAATTTGTTTTTAAATAATATTTTTACTGGAAGGAGCAGTAGTTCAACAAAAACAATCAAATAAAGTGCAAATAGACATATTTTTACCCACCCATTACTGATATGAAGCTGGATGAAAATAAAATGGGAATAAATTCAATGGGTTATGCCCCTAAACAGGATGCATTCAGTCAGTTCAACAAACTCAAGAACAACGTTTAATGTACAAATAAACAATTAGTTCTTGTTTCTATGTACAAGTCACACTTTATGATGGCATACATAAAATAATATAAATATATATTCCATATGCCATAGTATGAGTCTACACAAGTACATAGTATCCAACTAAAATGAAAGCACAGCGCTTATATCAGAAGTGATGTTAATCATAGGGAAGCACTGTTAGTTGGTCAGAACAAAATAAGAACGGTTGCCAGGCAAAGTAAAATTTCTGGTTTGATCCACGTGGCAAATTCAGTTTTGTAGTTGAGGTATCATGTCCTCTGTCAAGGTTTTCCTGCTTGTAGGGAGGAAATATGAGCTGATACATCTGCTAGTACAAAGTTTAAAATGCTCTTACTAACCACGAACAACTGTCTGCCTCATAAACACATTTATACAATGAATGTAAAAATGAAAGAATAAGAATATTGTCATAGCAGTCTGGATAAATGTTTGCTATATGGCAGCTTTGTTGAACCCCTGTATGTAAAGTGTGTGCGCTCTTGTCTTCAGATGACGTCAGTGGAGAGGGTGGTGGAGTACACCGAACTGGAGAGCGAAGCACCCTGGGAAACCCAGAAGCGTCCGCCTCCTGATTGGCCCAGCAAAGGCCTGGTGACCTTCGACCGGGTCAGCTTCTCCTACAGCAACGACGGACCGCTGGTGCTGAAGAACATGAAAGCGATGTTCCGACCCAAAGAGAAGGTCAGACATCTTTATTTCCAGAGGCCCAGATACTGATCATATCATACGCTGTTAACTCTGAACTGATTAACTCTTTCATCCTGTACAGGTTGGCATCATGGTGCGGAAGCCGCCCCCACGTGCTGGGAAGAGCTCTCTGGTCTCTGCTCTGTTCCGCCTGGCAGAGCCTCAGGGGAAGATCTACATCGACGGTGTTCTGACCTCTGAGATCGGCCTCCATGACCTGCGCCAGAAGATGTCCATCATCCCTCAGGTAAACATGAACTGACCTCTTGTTTGTACCTCCAGCTCGTGGTTGTACTGAAGTGTAACCGTGTTTCTGTGTGACCCAGGACCCGGTGCTGTTTACTGACACAGTGAGGAAAAACCTGGACCCCTTCAACCAGCATGCTGATGAAGACCTGTGGAAGGCTCTGGAGGAGGTCAGTATCCAATCAGATAGTTGCACACGCACACACATGCACGCTCTGCAGCTTTCCCCTGACCTGGTTTCATGTTCCCTGCAGGTGCAGCTGAAGTCTGTGGTGGAGGAGCTGCCCGGGAAGTTGGAGACGGTTCTTGCAGAGTCGGGCTCCAACTTCAGTGTGGGTCAGAGACAGCTGGTCTGTCTGGCCAGAGCCGTCCTGAGGAAGAACCGCATCCTCATCATTGACGAGGCCACAGCCAACGTGGACCCCAGGTATGACACACAAAACCAACATACAAATGTATTTAAGTAGTTTTTCTCCAGAGTGGACTGCTGTAACTTCCTCCTCTCTGGCCTCCAACTAGTTCAGAACAGACCTTGCTTCTGTTTGTTGGCTTTTAGAATCAATTTAAAGATTTTACTGTTCACTTTTAAAGCACGTCTGGTTCTGGCCCCAAGCTATGTAGCAGAAATGTTTGACCCCCAGGTTGGTCCTTCTGGCTGCTGCAAAGACGAGGCTTAAATCATGTCTTTGTTACATTTCCTTATGAGTGTCCTGCTTTGTCTGTCAAAGTGAAAGCAGAACAGTTTTTAAAGGTGCAATATGAAGTTCTTATTTAATTGCATTGTTGTTTATTGTTCTCTTATGTGCCTCTGCAGGACAGATGAACTGATCCAGAAAACTATACGGGAGAAGTTCAGAGAATGCACAGTGCTGACCATCGCTCATCGCCTCAACACCATCATAGACAGCGACAGGATACTGGTGAGTACTCTCTTCTGTCTCAGTTGTTTTAGCTTTGTTTTTTATATAACCTAAATTATTTCAGTGTGTGTTAGCTGGCTAATGTTAAAGGCCTTTATTATGCTTCAAGGTGCTGGACAGTGGTACCATCCAGGAGTTAGACTGTCCCTTCACCCTGCTGCAAAACAAAGAGGGTGCTTTCTACAATATGGTGCAACAGACGGGTCAGGCCGAGGCCACTGCTCTACTTGAGGCAGCTAGACAGGTGAGAGGAAACGATCCCATTAAACATTCCTGTATCTGAAATATGCATGTATATGGATGTTATTTGAAATTACATTATATAATTTTTTCCATTTTCAAAGGCAGCACAGCAGTCCTGACATCTGGAGGCCAGCTGAGTGGCATTTTGAAAGACTGCCTGTCTGCTGTATAACAGAGTCAATATGTAAGCTGTAGACTTAATGTTGAAAGATACAAACCTGCTAATTGTACAGTAAACTATTTTTTAAACTGCTAATATGTAAGTTCAAAAGTGATTCAGGAAATTTGGATTTTTTTTTTTTTAAATTGCTTGTTAAGTCAACTCGTGTTTTTGTTAATGTGAGTAAACTGTTTTTCTCATGCAATTGACCTGGAAGTCCAACTGTGAAACTTCAGGTACACTAAAGATGGTGCTAATTGTAATATGCGTCATAAAGATGATTAAATTTTTAACTGCCTGAGTTATGGTCTTGTTTGTTGATTTGACTGATGTTTTTTTCCTTATTAGACAATAAGAAGTCTGTAGCTGAGCCCCATCAGGACAAATGAATAAGGTAAGAACCATTTTATTATTTGTGTAAATGTAGTGTATATTTGAATCCAAAGGACATCATAAAAGTAAGATTTGTAGGTGTTTATGCAGCGTTTGACAACAAAAATATACAAATTGGCACAACAAAATATAAACATGTAAGGTGGTCATGACACATTTGAACACAAACAGGCCATTTGAGTTGTGGCAAAGAGCAGAGTGAATAGAAACAGTATAAAAAGGCTGAAATGTTTTTTTACTGACATTGCAATTTCTTAATTTGGTAATCATTAGTCCTGTGCAACAACATAAAGGCAACTTTGGATACAGATATACACTATCATTGATTAAATTAACGTGTGCAAACCTGAAATAAGGCACTTAAAGTATTATGTGGCCATTTAAAAGCAATTTAGCATAGAAATAAATAGTGATCTATGTCAATAGTTTTTACAGTAGTGATTTCCCAGCTTGAAGGAAACAGCATAATGTGCATGTAGAGGCCAGTGCCTCTGCAGATCCTGTCCTCTGTCTCCTCAGCAGCTGGACTGGTTGAGACCCATCTATCCAGGCCCTGTGTGCTTTCACCAGAGGCTGGGGGCGCAGTACATGTCCAGGGACGTCCTTTAGTCTTCTGGCTCACAGAGCTGTCTCAAAAATAACCAAGTTACCGTCCGCTGTTACTGCGTGCCCATTAGACAGATTGTCATGGCTTCTGCTGTCATATGCCTGAAAACACAGATTGCAAAGTCAGATTATTTACTTAAAGGTTTTTCACATTTTAAAGTGTGTGGAAGGTAAAACTCACCTGTTTAGCTGCTTCTAGTAGATCTACTGCTTCCTGTTTGCCAGTCTGCTGCACCATTTTATAAAAGATGCCTTCTGGGTCTTGCAGCAGGGTGTAAGGCTCATCATAGGCATGAATGTTCCCTGCATCTAGAACCTGGAGACAATCATATTGTTGTAGGAATTACTTTAAAGTTGCAAACACTAACTATCTGTGCCTTCTTTCAGGTTGGGCTGTGATTGGCTAGCTGCAATATCGCCTCATCTACAGGCAAGTAAAGTAGTAGCTGCTGCAATTTAACAGTCAAATCACTCACTTTACCTCCAACTGCAGATTTGGTTATTTGCACAGGTTTTTTTTTTTACTCTCAGTAATGGTGTTGATGCATTACATTTGTGCCCCATTTCTGAGTGAACAAAGACTCTATTCTGTACTCACTAAATGTCTTTGTATGCTTGCTATTATCCAGGTACAGTGCTGCATTGTACCTTATTGAGCATGCAAATACAATTAGTAAGTACAGAATAGATTTTTCTTCAAATGTCACCTAGGAAAGACACAAATGTTAACCTCCATTGTTTTGGGGTGGAGTCAAAACCTGGACAAATAAATTCATCACAGGTAATTTGGGTGAAGTCCTCCCTTATCACAACTGTCACATTCATGTAGCAGTGTGCTCAGTTCACCGTCCTCTACCAACCTTTCAGCTTGACAAGCATGTGTTATGTGACAAGAGGGCAGCAAAACCAAAGTAACTACTTTTGATTCCTAAATTAATGTAGAAGTTGTGATATGTGAAGCTTTACATTGAAAGGGACTGTTCACATTTTACCTGTAGTGTTATTTATGCCATCTACATTGTTTCGGACATGTCTGCCCTCCCACATAATAACTATTTTTCTTTCTATGTATCACTGGACAGAAGGAAGTGTGCATTTGAGCTATTTGAAGTTACAGCTCAGCCGAGGTGCATACTTCTGTGGATGGAATAAGTAACAGTACAGGTACAGGGTGAACTGTCCCTCCAACATTAGCAGTGGAGGACCAGGATCTGTATTAAAAAGGTGGGTTCAGTCTCATTCCCAGGTTGCTTGTATTTAAAACATGGAACTGAGGCTCAACTATCTTTTGCTGGAGGACTTATCCCAGCTTTTAAGCAATAGTTCAGAGTTTTGGGAAATATTTAATGTAACATTGATTTTAATCTCATATCTGTGCTTTAAATATGGTTAGCTTAGCATAATGGCTGTAAACAGCTAATTCTAAAAGACCTTCCAGCCTTCTTTAAAGCACAGACATAATTAACATCAATGTTAAATATATAAATATTTCCCAAAACACCAAACTATTCCTTAAAGCTGGGGCGAGTCATTTAGCCAAAGATTTGAGCCTCATTCCCATGTTTTCAATACAGACACTCCAGAAGAACTGAACCCACCTTTTAATACAGATCCTAGTTAACTAAAACATGTCAAGATTGCAGAAGCTATTGCTGTCTTTGCCTGTAGGTGATGAGATGTTGACATCTGTAAGTGCTCAGTTTATTAGTCACCTCACTAAACATAATGCAGTCTCAGGGTGAGTTCACATTTATTACTTATCCATAGTCTGTGTGTATGACGGACAGAGGCAACAGGAAACTGAATTGCTAATGTTAATTATATACTTCAAAGCCACCAGGCTTCTTTGACAAACAGGAATCTGGTGGCTTTGGAGAGAACAATGCAACAGTTTCCTGTCAGACAGGGCTGTGTGATGGCTAAAATATGGGTTTCTACTGTAGGGACACACTATGGATAAGCAAAAGCACCTGAACTATCCCTTTAAGACCTTTTGAAGGCTGCAGTTTGTGGTG